ATATATGTATATATATATATATATATACATACACATATATATATATAATACACATATGAATTTGGGTTTGGTTACAGCTGATTGATACTTGGACTAAGTCAGAGAATTTCAGTAGTAAAAGTATGAAAACAATGTAAATGCTGCCTTCAGTGAATTAAGCTGAAAACCAGCAACTAAATAAAATGCAGATGAACAATTATAAAGTTGTTGCTTCTGCACTTACATGAATGAGCAGCCATCACTCATAAAGGAACTCACCGCAGGCTGCTGTCAGTGCGACCATACAACCAGCCATTGCGTGGCTCCTGGACCAGCACAATGACTGTCTCTCCTTTACTGAAAGGTAAAAGCTTTGGGTTGGACGAGGAGGGGTGAGACACCAAGGCTCTCATGGGTCTCCCTCCACCCAAACCCAAAGATTCCCCCACTGAGCTGGAGCGAGAGCGGCTGGGAAGTGGAGATGGAGCTGAAGGGTCAACAAAGAAGCAGTAAGAATACCAAGACATAAAAAAGAGAATATTGGGATTTTTTAAAATGTATTTATGAATTAATACTACACTTGTTTGACTTCAGGTCTAGTCAAGTAACATTCAGCAGATTAATTCTAATTCTCACCTCTAGAGGGCACTCGACCCAGTGCCAGCTGCTCCCTCCTGGCCCAGGACATATCCTCATCTCTGGCTACAGTTTGCAGCAGAGAGCTCACTGACCCTCGGAGCTTAGCACACACAGATTAAAGATTATAAAAGTAAATGCTGCTGTGTACATTCAGTAATTTTATTAAGATACTAAAATGTTTGATAACAAAAAAGATATACTATAGTCCTTTCACAGTAAATTTATAGGAGTTTAAAAAATGCATTGAGAAATCATCATCAAGGTTCTAAGCACACGCTGGTGCACTGGCAGCTCAAACAAGCACAGCTTTATTACAGGCTGCTAAATTGGTTGGATACAAATATCAGATTAATGTCTTCAGTGGAAAAAATAATTAACTAAACTAAGTATGATGCCAGTACCTGCACCTCTTGGTCTAAATGGTTGGGAGTTAGAGATCTGGACCCTCTGGTATCATTCACCTTCACTTTCCAACTATCTGCCTTTTGCTGCAGGGATGCACCGGTCTGAAAACAGATAGGAGACATGAGCACCTCAACCCAATCAAGTAGAAATAAGATTAACACATCCGGAAGGTTAATAAGGTACACAGAGTAGAGTTTTATCAAATAATCCAATTCAATTCAAAATACTTTATTAATCCCAGAGGGAATTTAAATGTTGTAACTCATCATACTGGCTTCATTAAAGAGTTGTTCTAGATGCTGATGGCTGTGGTCAGGAAGGATCTCCTGTAGTGGTCTGTTTTACAGCAGATCTGAAGAAGCCTCTGACTGAAGACACTTGTTGTTGTATGACAGTCTGATGAAGAGGATGCTGAGCGTTGTCTATAATGTTCTTCATTTTATGAAGAATCCTTCTTTGTACAATCATCTCCAAAGGTTCTAGAGGAGTCCCCAGAACTGAGCCAGCCCTCTTTATGAGCTTGTTGATATTTTTAAAGTCATTTGCTCTGGTGCTGCTACCCCAGCAGATAATAAAACAATGAAAATAATGTAATATGCCTAGAATAAATATTCATAGAAACTGTCTAAAATTAATAAACTGTTGAAGGAATATGTTAACAGGGTACTGAAGAGGCTGTAGAACCCTCTACTGGTAAAAGACTGTAACTGCAAGACAAAATGTTGTATCAACAAAAATAGTTTAATATATTAAATATTCTTATTGAGGAGTATTAATTTTGTTGAAGTATGAAAAAGTGTTTTTTTTTTTCTTTTGGCTGCTCCTTTCTTCAGGGTCACTACAATGAGTGAACTTGCACTAAGATTTAGCACAAGTGGCGCAGAAGGCTGCCATTTAGGGTGCTCGGGGGAGCAGACTGGGGGGTTAAGGGCCTTGCTCAAAGATCCAGAGAGGAGCAAATGAAAGTGGAGGCGGGTATAGATGCTTCACCTTTCCTACACACATTTTTTAATGTAACAATCAGGGGATTCAAACTGGAGACTTTCCAATCACAGTCTCACCTTTAACCTCTGCACCACCACCCCCCTCTTAATTATATAAAAATATATTATAATATATTAGGAATGCACAATATTATCGGCATGGTATTGTATCAGCTGATATTAGCAATAAAGTTAAATACTGGACATCGGTCAGTCCATCAAAATAACTAACCGATATAACATCACGCGCACTGTTGAGTTTAGATTTGTAAAAATTTTCAAATTTGCACTATTCGAGTGTTGTCATTGTGTTGGAGAGAGTAAATATCATGAATAAATCTGACATTAAACATAATCCAAGTTCAAGTGTTACATCATTTTCAGCCACCTTTTTGGCATCTGCATTTGATAACAGGCCAAATTGACAAAGACCAAGAAGAATAATTAGGGATGCACAATATTATTGGCATGGTATCGGTATCGGCCGATATTAATGTTAAATTTAAATATCGGACATCGGCCATTCCATTAAAATAACTCACCAATATAAAAGGCGCTGGTTTTGCCTGCAGCGGCAGCACAACGTGATGACGGTGCAGCGGCAATGCAACGCAATGACGTCACGCTCGCCTACCCAAGCTCATGGTGGAGAGGAAAATTCAAAATGTCGACGGTGTGGAAGTTATAATTTTCGTTGGTGAGGATGTCGGATTCCAAAGATTTTTGGACTACATTGAGCCTCGTTACATCGTCCCCAGTCGGAGATATTTTTCTGACGTAACGTTCCCCGAGTTACAAGCCATAATTTTCGTCGTCATTGAGAAGCTAATAGCCGATAGCATGACTCGTTAGGTGAGTTTTACCGCAGACATTTGGACGTCGTGTTAGCCCCGTTAGCATGATTAGTCTTACGGCACAATGGATAGACAAAAACTTTGAACTTAAAAAGTCTGTCCTTCATGCACAGGAGTGCAGAGGATCCCACACTGCAGCTAGGAACCTGGAACAAGCCTCCACAAGTGAGACAGCATCGCAGGCGACTAATGCAAATAAATAACATTTAACTCTTTTCATTTCATATAAGTCAAAGTGCTATGCATATCATATGGCTGTTACTGAATATATGTCACCAGCTCTTACAGCTGTTGCACAATTTTTGTAGCAAATAGGTCTAAATAAGAGGGCTATGTTCTGTCAAAGGAACGTATATAAAATATCAGTATCGGCATCGGTTATCGGCCGAATAAGTTTTAACATTTCGGCCAAAAATTCAATAATGTACATCACTAAGAATAATATAGTATTTTAATTCCACAGCAGAGAAAGCTATGTAGTCTCTGTAAGTAGGTCTAGGGAAAAAAATATCGGTATTGGTATCAGTTATCGGCCAAATAAGTTTTAATATATCGGCATATCAGCCAAAAATCCAATATGGTGCACCCCTACAATATATTGCATAATATGTTGCTATAATGTAAAGCCCAAAGATAAATACTGATTAAATTTCCTTTTAAATTTTAAAATTAATTTGTTAAACCCTAATTTGCTGAATGATTCCTTTGCAACAGAATATTACAGTGATAATTGAAATATTCTGCACATGGTCTCACTTTCAAAACTCTTAAAGGTTGGAGCTACATAAAGACTACATCAAATTCACACTGTGAGGAAGGAGCAGTGTGCTAAACTTTGGTTGGCTGTTGTTGTGCAAAAATGATATTTCTATACCTTGTTTACAAGAAACAGCAGTGACTGAGTGAGGCCGCAGTGCTTCTCTGCCAAGAAACGATACCTCCTCTCCTCCTCTTTCAGGATCTCCTGCTGGCTCTGCTTTAGGTAGATCATGTATTCACTGTTCTCCTAAAAACAAACACACATTGACATATTCTTACACACACAGAGGTTCGGAAACATCACTCCTACCAAGCCACGTTTGTGAGTGTACCAGAGAGTCTCTGTATGTTCCTCGTCTGAGTTTTTTCTCCAGAGCCTCAGCCTGGTTCCTCACCTCCAGCTCGTACACTCTGCGACTACCCTGCAGCACAGCAAACACGCGTATTCATGAATCAGTTTTTCCTGAAAGTCTTTTTAGGAGCTGCACAGAGTAATGTTTGTGCTGATTGGCCATTCTTTCTCCTGTTGGCTACTTTCAAGCAGCAGTGCAGCGTGTCACTGTTGAGCTGACTCATTCTTAATTATCAAGCTGATATTCTTTACACAGGAAGTGGATGCTCTTGTGGAGTTTGAAACAACCATTAACTGCATTTTGGCTAGTTCTGAATGCAAGAGTGTAAGAGGTCAGAAAGTGAGTCTTTTGACTAATATGAAGATACATTTTTGAGGACAGAAACTTTTATTTATTCTTTTATTATGTTGACACCATATTAACAGCTTTAACACTTGTGATTTTAGTATAGCAGTGTATTTTTAAAAATTTCTGTTAGTTTAGGAATTTGTACAGAGTAACCTCAACATGCTGAATATATACAAACTTAAGAATAACCATTTTATTCCTAAAATACCTGAGAAAACTAAACACAAAAACTAGTGTTTTCAGAGTATTCCATCTATTCGTTATTTTACAGCTGAGTTTAAAAAAAGTACTAAATACATGCAGACTTCTAATTAGCTACAAACTTGTAAAGTGAACTCACTTCAATGTACTCCTCATCCAACTTGATATTCTTCTCCATTGCTTGCAACACCTCAATCTGGAACCACTTAAACTGTAGCAGGAAAAAAACACTTATAATGTGACATTTTTTTAAATCAAACTGCATCATTGTTTAAACATTCTGGCCCTAACTGTCAATTTGGTTGGTTTACCAGAATCTGCATGCAAATGTGCTCCTTTTTAAGTGAAATGTATAGTTTATAGAACTGTGGTTTCTCTTAAAAGTCCACTTTTTTGTCACCAAGCTTGTTAAATACTAAAAAACTGCACATGTACTGACCACTCCCTCCATCTCTGCAGTGAGTCTCCTCTGGGTTTCAGCAATCTGGACCAGGACATCCCCTTTGTAAAGCAAAAACAACAGACTTGACTAATCAACACTAGACAGGACCAACACACGTCACATAACTTGAATACTTTAATCTATTCACAGGCACAAAGACATAATTAATTATACATAATTACTACATATTTTGTTTGGTGGAATTTCTTTTCCTAGTAGGCCATGAAAATAATATTTGAGTAAAGATTTTACAAATCTTAATTCCATAATTTACAACTGTTAATGACCAATTCTTTAAAAAAAAAAAAAAAAAAGTCTCAGGTATTTTATTTGTGACTTTGACATTGAAGTTATCATGGCATGTTTAATCCAACAAGCCAAACTGTTAAGAAGGTGGAAGGTTATTAAAAGCATTTTTATTATGGGTGCCTCTGGCTGTGTCTGTTGTGAGCAAGCTACTGAAGTGAGTGCATCTGAATGACTGTCCTCATTTATAATTCAAGAGCTTCCACTTCAGAGGGCCTGTGATCACGCTGTGGCTCCCTGACCCTCCCACTAAGAGTAACTGAAAGCTTAGAGGAATATTTGTCATGCTGTGCTACGCCTACACTCAATAAAAACATGTCAACATGATCATAGTTAAAGTTATTGCACCTACCAAGGGTCAGAATACTTGAGCATATATCAATACTGTATATAAGAGGCTGTGTGCACACAAAACATTAAACAAACCGAGAGATTCAACTTTACGGTTTGGTTAGTGCATCACTATGACAAAGCTAGACATGTACAAGACTTTGGTCCTCTATAAAGACAATTTGTGTTTTTATTATTAACTTAAGAAATATAGGTTGAAATGATGTGTTACAAATATAAACACACAAAGGAAGTCCTGAGGTTCTGCCTCCAGTGTAAGAGTTCAAGTATCTCGTGGTTTTGTTCACGAATGGGGAAAGAATGGAGCGCAAGACTGAGACGGATTAGTGCAGCATCTGCAGTATTGCGGACTCTGTGCCGGTCCATTGTGATGAAGAGGGAGCTGAGCCAGAAGGCAAAGCTCTCCGTTTACTGGTTGGTCTACGTTTCACCTGTGGCCATGAGCTCTGAGTAGTGACCGAAAGAATAAGATCGTGGAGACAGGTGGTTGAAATGAGTTTCCTCCACAGGGTAGCTGGACTCTCCCTTACAGATAAGGTGAGAAGTTCAGTTATCTGGGAGAGACTCAGAGTAGAACCGCTGCTCCTCCACATAGAGAGGAGTCAGTTGAGGTGGTTCGGGCATCTGGTAAGGAATGTTCCTGGGCACCTCCCTAGGGAGGTGCTTCGGGCATGTCCAACTGGGAGGAGACCCCAGGGAAGACCCAGGACACGCTGGAGAGACTATGTCTCTCAGTTGGCCTGGGAACACCTTGGGATTCTCCCAGAAGAGCTGGAAGATGTGGCTGTGGAAAGAGTTGTCTGGACCTCCCTGCTCAAGCTGCTGCTCCCGCGACCCCACTTTGGAATAAGCGGAAGATAATGGATGGATGGATGGATATAAACAAACACACTCACATGGACACACAAGTATGTTTATATTTGTTACTCTTACCAAGAGAATGGGATGAAAGTGTATGAATGGCCTGGTCACCCATCTTAGCCACAGTGCTGAAGTAGGCCTCACTGCAGACGGATAAGGCTGCAGAAAACACACACACACAAAAAACTCTATACCATAAACTTTTATTACATCTACAACAACCTCACACATTTTCAAAGTGCTTTTAATTGGGTCAGCTGGCTTTTACTCATTAGGAACTACAACCTAACGGTGCTGACAACTGATATGTGATTCTGGTCGGGGAATAGCTTCATGCCAGAGGGTTAGGGTTTCCACACTGCCCTGTGACTGATGGCCTATTGTTGTTTCACGAGAACGAGCTGTACATTATTGATGTTTGGTGCTCAGCCACTTACCGCTGCAATGAAGATTGGGAGTAAACTGCAAGCTGACATGTTTTTAGTAAACAAAACCTTATATTCTGAAAATGCCTAAACAACAACAGTTTTATAGAGGCTCCAGTGCTTCTACTTGTTGAAGGGGCTGTGGGGACTTGGAGGCAGGCCACGCCCACATTATTTGGTCCTGTGCAAAAATGAAAACTTCCTGGAAAGATGTCGGGGAAAAAAAAAATAGAATCGATTTTGGGTTCTAAATTACAACAACCCATTTTATTATTTTTGTTAGGAGGCGCTCCTGATGGAATGTCAACGAGTGACAAATATTTACTGAAAATCCCAAGTGCCACAGCAAAAAAAAAGCATTTACTCAAAAATGGCTTCAACCTGATCCACCGATACTCGAGGACTGGTTGAAAATGGTCAAGGAAGCCCACAAAATGGAGCGATTAACATTTATGCTGAGGCTGCAAATTGAACTCTACAGAAAAAGATGGAGTACAAATGGACTTGATTCCTTGAGGGCAATTAGTTGGTGTGGTCTCTCTTAGCCCTGTGAAATGATAAACGCTGCTCAAATACTCAAGTGTCATCCTGACTGCTACCTCATACCTGTAACTTTGTTTATAATTTCCACAAGATTGTGACAATTATCTATTATTATCTATTGGCTCTGTTACTACCTAAATAACCACTTTTTTGCCTATTTTTTCATGCAGTATAAATTAAAATATTTTGAAGCTAAATATCGAGTACCATATAAAATATTACCGCATGATTTCAGAATCCATACAATGACTTCAAGATAAAGTTTCACAAGTATTAAAGAAAACATCATTATGAGCTTTTTTTTTTAAGGGGGGAGGTTGCAATTGTGTTAATCTTGTTACTTTGTACAATATTATAATTATCTGTGCAAAATTCTAATAAATCACTAGTTCTTGTGCAAACAGAAAGCAAATCATTTGCAAACCCCACAGAAATAACAATAAAAATATTTTTACTGACCATGAATGTGGTCTTCTTTACACGAGGCCACACAATAGATGTTTTTAATATAATTTATAGCACCCGGTCCACTCAGTCCATCATTATCTGACTCACCTTGGAAAGCTTTCACATAGCTGTTTCCAAGTGCAACAAGTTTCTGAAGACCTGGGTTGAAGTGTTCCATCAGGTTCTACATCAAACCACAAACACGCATAAAAAAGAGCAACCAACAAGGAAACAGATGAACACAAAAACAGTTCCCGTGTTTTAAAATACGAACAAAATTCAAGAGAATGAAAGAAATATATATATTTTTACTTACCGAGTAGACACTTAAAGTTGATTTATGCAACTGTTCACTGCTGACTCCTGACATAGTGATTAATTATAAAGCCAAGGTCAAATATAAACAACCAAATAAAATTGAAAAAGATGGTCAGTGGAGGATGGAACGTCTTTAAAAAGTCTTGTACCTATTCAGGTTTCTGAAAAAGTTTCAACCAGCCCTTCTTACTTCAGAATCTACAGAGAAAGTCCCCTTCACTCCAGTCCCACCCTTTCTGCTGCTGAGCAAAAACCAACAACCCCCCCACCCACCCCTTTTTTTAATTATCCATTAATGAGATCCTTTGCTGTCTTGTCACCACCTGTTTTCATGGAAAGAGAGAGCAAGCGTGTGCAAAGGGAGTAGGTGGCATTGATATGACCGGATGAATTATTGATTCATGACCTGAAAGAAAACGAGGACAGCCAGGCATCCCTGTGACGTCTGGATTCACACCTGAGGGAGCGTCTTAACTGAAAATAGATGGCCGTCAAGTAATTACTGCTGTCGAGTTTAAAGATAAACAAAATTAGGAAGAACATCTGTGTATAATTCAGGCACCACAAGAAAATCTATCTGTAGTAAAAATCTTTAAATCAACACACAACACTTTCTATGATCATTAAATGGATTAGTGGATTTATAGGAAGCATGGCGTCGGTGACTGGAAGGGAATATTTTCCAACAGTTCTTAGAGTTTGGCATAAAGATTCATTCATTCAAAAGAAACAACACAAACAAAACAAATTTATTAAAAAGAAAAACATTGATTGAAAAGGGTACAGAAAGAAGAAAAAATTATTATTATATCTGCCCCTTATTTAAAAAAATATATAAAATAACTACAAACAAACAACAACCTTCGCTTGAACAATCTCCAAAGTGAAAAGAAAAAAACATCAGGCATTCTTCACATGGCACCATACTTTCCTAACAAATTTAACTTAATCATCTTTTTAAACATATGCATTGTTTGAGAAATTTTTATGGTATATTATTATTCCATAATCCTATTCCTTGAATTACAACACAGCTCCTTCAGACTGGTTCTAAATGGAGGTTTTACAAACATTTACATTCCCTTAAGGTTATAACGACTCTCTTTTTTTAATAAATTTTAATTGAATATTTGGGGGTAATATTTTTTTATGAGCTTTATATATGAATGTAAAATACTATATTCAACCAAATCATAAAATTTTAATAATTTCAGTTGATGAAATAATATATTTGTTGGGTGACCATAGCACTTCCTACTAATAATTCTTATAGCTCTTTTTTGTCAAATGAAAATAGGATTTGTAATTGTTTTGCATGCTTTTCCCCAAACTTCAATACAATAGATTAAATGTGGAACAATCATTACATTATACAATATATACAAAGCTTTGTCATTCGAAAACTATTTTACTTTATACAGTAATGCAATAGATTTTGCTATTTTTATTAAGTAATTTACATGAGATTTCCATGTCAGCTTCTCATCAATAACAACACCCCAAAAGTTTATTTAATTAACTATGATTTTCAATAGTGTCAATTTTAAATGAGACTTTGATAATTTTATTTCCATTACTATATATCATGTAGTTTGTTTTTTCCAATTTTTTTGATCTTATTAAGTTGGAACCAATCCTGCCTGTATCATCTCTAACATCCGTTCAATATCTTCTCCTGAACAAAAAAATGTGGGATCATCTGCAAATAAAACACACTTCAAAAGTCCTGACACATCAACCAGATCATTTGCATACAAAATAAACAACTTTTGTCCCAACACAGAGTCCTGAGGAACTCCACATCCATTTACACAAAATTCTAATTTTACATCATTAACTTGTACAAATTGTCTCCTATTATTCAAATAACTAGATACCCACTGTAGTGCTAATCCTCTAATGATGTATTTATTCAGTTTTTCAAGAAGAATGGTGTGGTCACCAGAGATTCAGAGACATTGGGATGAATTTAATGTAATTGAAATCTTATTTTGGTTTTCAGTAAGACTAGAATCTCAAAGGCTGATTCGTAACAACAATTTAGTGAAAAAGATGGCACTAATCAAAAATGCTGATCCTTGGGTTTACCAAGTTAGCTACAATTTTAGTGTTTAGTGTAAATTCAGAATATTTAATAGCATGTATTTTTTATCACATGCTGTCAACTCTCGGATGATTCAAACAGAACTGAAATCATAAATGACACCACTGTTTGACAAAAGTGTTAATGAGCATTTTTTGTGTATAAATATTTCTGCTTTCAAGTTATGTTCAGTAATATTGTCTCACCTCATGAGGGCTGTTTTTCCTCATTAATAAGAATGAAAGTCATTTTGGCATCTCCATATATTTGGGTTTTTTATATTTATTTGTAACATTTGCTTTAGTTGGTCATTGTCAATGTCAGTTTAATCACATAACAGAAAGTCAGTCTTTCAAATTAAACAAAATTTTAAATACAAAAAGTAATACATGAATATAAAAAGGCAGTGATGTAACTTTAAGTAGTCATTTTAATTATAAATTAAAACAATGGTTTAAAAAGCCCGATGATTGGAAAGGTGGATTAAAAAATATATATATCTGACATTCAGATGCAGATGTGTTCAAGCTGCAACTGTATTTAGGTAACACTAAGAAAACATGATATACTGGCTGTTTAAAGAATTCATTAACAAGAAAAGTGAGCTCTGCTGTAAATCAACATTATCAGCTGTTAAACTAACCTGCAACTTCATCTTCATCTTCTTTTGGCAGTTCCCTCTTCAGGGGTCTCTACAGTGAGTCATCTTCCTCCATCTCACTCTGTCCTCTGCATCCTCTGTCCTCACTCCAACTACCTCCATGTCCTCTCTAACTGCATCCATATATCTCCTCTTTCTCTTTTTCTCTGGACATGTCCAAACCATCTCAGTCTCTAACTTTATCTCCCAGTTGTTCAACCTGTGCTGTACCTCTGATGATCTCATTCCTGATCTTATCCATCCTTGTCACTCCTAAGAAGAACCTCAACATCTTCATTTCTGCCACTTCCAGTTCTTTCTCCTGTCTTTTTGTCAATGCCACTGTCTCCAGACCATACAACATAGCTGGTCTCACAACTGTCTTGTAAACTTTTCCTTTGACCTTTGCCGACACCCTTTTGCCTCAAATCACTCCTGAAACGTTTCTCCATCCACTCCATCCAGTCTGGACTCTCTTCTTCACCTCTTTACCACATTCTCCATTTTCCTGGACAGTGGACCCCAAGTACTTGAAGTCCTGCACCTTTGTGACCTCTGCTCCTTGTAGCCTCACTGTTCCACCAGCCTCCCTCTCATTCACACACATGTACTCTGTCTTACTACGGCTGACTTTCATTCCTCTTCTTTCAAGTGCATACCTCCACCTCTCCAAGTTCTCTTCCACCTGTTCCTTGTTCTCATCATAAATCACATCATCTGCAAACATCATAGTCCACGGGGATTCCTGCCTGACCTCATCTGCTAGTCTGTCCATCACCAGAGCAAACAAGAAGGGGCTCAGAGCTGATCCTTGATGCACACCCACCTCCACCTTGAAGCTATCTGTCACTCCTACAGCACATCTCAGCTAACCTGCAACACATAAACAAAAAGCTGCTCCTAGACACCGAAACATCCGTCTGTAACAGATGGGTTTTATGCCATCAGCCTCTCAAATAGATGTCATTTATAAAAGGAAAATCTAATCATGTCTTTTTGAAATTTGACATTTATTTACATGTAAAACTGGTTTTTCATACTTAAATTAGTCCAGAAAAACACTAACAAATAGAAACAACATCAAGAGGGAGACAGCAGGATGTCATTCACTCTGAGAGAACTGTCAAACTGTAAGTTGGCATATTGAGGCTGAACATCCAGAGTTTTGTCAGATTTTACAGAAATCTTGTCATGGCTGTCAAATGGAAAGAAACTGCAGCAGGCAGAGTCAGTGCTGACTTTCTTCATATTACAGGGAAAACAATATCTGATCATATCACAAAACAGTATTTGGATCGAGCCAGCACTCCAACAGCTACCTTTCTATTTCAGCAAAAATGCACCACACTGACAAGAATGGGTTTATATTGAATTAAGTGTCACAATAAGTATTCGTGTTTTTTTAAGTAAAATTAAATGTACTCTTTTGTTGTGCTCTGTTTATAGCTGAAGTATAGCTAAATATAAGCTCTTAGGGTTGACATTAGTTGAAGGAGCTCAATATAAATATGAATAATAAAAGACGGAGGAGGTGTGATGCTGCTCACTGTTCTGTGCTCTGCTTCAAATTATCAAGGTCATCATAGATGACGTCCTCACCACCGCCATCCTTTTCCTGTCGCTCTTGACAACGGACAACAGTCTCCAGTACAATTTTCAAACGCCTGCTGAGAGCAGCCAGGTGAGGCTCGGACAGCAGAGGAGCCACCTTGTGAAGGAGATCCTGGGACAACGAGGCTCTCATGACATCACTGATATGATACTGAGGCAAAGAGAGGAGCTGAAGACGCAGCCAGGTGGAACGACGAATTCTGAAGGAAAAGGAACGAGCGTAAACAAACAAGGAACTATATCTTTGCTGGGGCGGAGAAAATAAGCAAGAAAAACATTCTTTAGCAATATTAGTTATTTCTTGATTTTCTTTATATATTAATGGGGAAATATCGTAACAGAAAGTGCAGCACATAAATTAAATTCACTTGTGGTACAGTTTATGGAAAACAACATCATATGATAAAAGATATTGCAGCAAACAAAATATGAAATTTAAAGCTAATTAAGATTTAATCATGCTCCTTTTTGTACCTGCAGCACTGTTCAAGTGGTGCTAAAATAGAAGGTTCATCTTTAGAGTGACGCCCAAATCTGCAGACAGCAGACCCAGTGTGAGTCATAATAACAGTCACATGTCAACGATAGACAACTTTGACAAGCATGTTCCTGTCAACATGTGCTGAACATAGAACTCAGTAAAATGTTCCAGTACTCACGCCCTCCCGTTGTCAAGGTGGAGTAGAAAAGTACCGTTTCCAAACTTTTCAAAGGTTTCATAATGATGCCTGTCCATGTTACCTACAAGGAAAAAAAACATCCATTTGTTTATATAGCCCAAAAAATTGTAAATGGACTGTACTTATATAGTTTTATATCTTATCAAGATACTCAAAGCACTTTACAACACAATCTGTGCCCTCATTTACCCATTCATACAGTATTCTATCTTTACAAATAATCAGTGCTTTATCACATTCATACACTGATGGATCACACATCGGAGGCAATGGGGGGTTCAGTGTCTTGCCCAGGGACACTTCAGTATGTGACTGCTGGTGGAATCGAACCCCCAACTCTTGCATTGGAGGACGACTGCTCTACTCAGCCACAGCCACCCCCAAAAATAAAATAACAGAAAACATAACAGAAGTTGACCAAAGCGCTTTACAGTTTAGTCCAATTCAAATGTAAACCAACATTAATAACAAGGATATACAAGAGATCTTGTGTCACTAAGAAAACACAAAAAGTTAAAAATAAAATACAGAAGCACAACATAAAAAAACGTATCAGCTCTAATTGGTTCTCAGACACTGCCTGGTTGTGGTGACATCTGTCTTTTTTTTTATTTCAACAATTCACATATCATGTATAAATAGAAACAAATGGGATCTTTAAAGTTCACTGGGTTTGACTGTTAGTGTTAAAGAACATGCACGATTAAAATCTTTATAATCTGACTGAGAGAAACAAGAACATCCAGTTTAACTGTAAGTATTGTAATGAAAAGCTTGCTTCAAAAAAAGATCAAACAGAAATATTGTGAAACATGAAATGTGTTTAATGGTTTACATGCATTTATTAGCATAAATCCAAAAATTGACTTTAGATGTTCACCATAGCATTTGACTCTTAAGGTTCAACACAGCACATCTGGAGATCAGAACAGTCAGAGTGTACAAACTAATCTCACTCTTCTTAAACTACATAAAACGGGGTCTAGCTTGGTATAAAGAGGAACTTTTGTGACCACGTTAACATCAGTGAGTGCTGAGTTTCCACTCTCCTGCTCACTGTCTAGATAGAGTGGACAGTGATAGACCGATAGCTGCGTGGCAGTCTGTGGAGAGGCATCTGCACCTTGAAGATTGCCTGAATCGAGTAAATATGAATTCTTACAAAACCGATGATCTGTCACAATGTGTGTGCTTCTGACTTGAGCCTTGACACAAAAAAGAGGCATTGGAAACGGCTGGGGGGAAGGAGTGTCCTGTAGGGCTCTGAGCTCTGTATCCCATGATGCTCCTCTCAACTCCAGGCCACACAAATACACAGCATCTGGAGGAAGCAAGGCTGGGTATGAGTTACTACACAAAACCTGGGAACGAGAGAGAGAGGAAAAAAACAATTATTCAAGGTTCACGGTTCTTTACTGTCATTTGCATCACATGTGATACATGAGGTAGAAAAAAATTGTGTACTCAAAGTCCCAGTTATACCCAACAATATCAAAAATAAAAAGTATACGAAGAAACAGTATATAAGGATCTAAGATATACACTAAGATGTATGCTAAACGAATGCTAAACAATACGCTAACGATCTAAGATATATGCTAAATACTAATAATGTAAAATAATACAGTATTTACTATAATTTTATGGTAATGACCACCATAACTTATCCAAATATATATAGAAATATATATATATATATATATATATATATATATATATATATATATATATATATATATAAGTTTAGAAGACAAGTATAGATCAATTTGTGTGCTTTACCTGAAAATGCAGTATTAGATCGCTCGTATATTTGTAATTTTCCTGAGCGCCCTCTCTCAACAATGCCACCAGGAAGCCTCTTGGATTCTTAAAAGCAGACAGCCGATAGGCACCAGGTGGATCTGAAGTACTGTGGTGGAAAACATAAGCGCTGATCAACTCTGCCCTCTTCTCCAACCGAGACACGTCAGTGAAGTTCATCTGGGAGGTGAAGGACAACATGTTCTGAACAGTCTGTTGAAGTTTTGAGAGGAGTGAGGACACCAAATCAATGAGATCATCCCACTCAGCCCTAAGAAAGTCGCCAAGGGGACTGAGAGGAACACTTCCCACATTTCCAATTAAGTTGTCTTTCTTTGTTGTGAGGTAATTCTTTAGAGCCTGCAGCCTCTCTCTTGCATGACTGTAGGCTGGCAGTTTGACAAGCTGGTTCAGTTTGGTGCTGAAACACCTCACTGCTCCAGGAGGAGTTTGGGAGGCCTGCAGTAATTGGTTCAAGTGCAGGCTGTTGATCTTTGTTATCTCAGGGGCCACATCTTCACTGAAACCCAGCAATGCAGGGTCACTGACTGCTGAATTCTGAAAAGGTTTCTCCAAATTCTGTAACAGTCGTGTCAAATCTAAAAAAAAAAAAACGCGCACAGCATCAGTACTTAAAATATAGACAATTGATAAGCATATGTTCAGCATCTTTGACAAACTTACTAATGTTGCTAGGAATTTATGCTCCTTTTGTTGCTATGCTCCTAAACCAGACTTTACTTTATACTGAATACACAATGTCTTTAAAAAATAGTCTAATTACCAAATTGGCCACCGTTGCTGATAATATTTGACAGGATGTGTGGCCCACTGCCGGAAAGGGATGACTTTGTAACAAAGCAAGTCTTGGCAATGTTCTCCAACACCTCTGAATCTGTAGAATCCATTACATGGCCACCATGAACAAGGTTCACTGAGAATAAAACGAGAAATATGTGGTAAAGCATACAATAACTACATGAGGATGACAGTTTTATTGTTTTATTTTAGTCACCTGCTATATACTGCAGAGCTTTTGTTCTATCATGGCAGAGGCTGGCGATGCAAATGTGTGCATCTACTAAAGCAAGGAGGTCGTCCAGACTCCTTTAAAATAAGAAAAAACCCGACATTAAAAACTGGAGTCATCAAAGATAACAGTTTTATCCCCCTTTGCTCACCAGTGATAAATTCTTCCAAAGCCTAAATATTTATATGTCTGTCTCTGCAACAAGATAGAATGGAAGATGGCAGAGCGGAGAAGCAACTCCATGCTGTCATCTGGGACACGTGATGATGGCTGAGTTCGACTAACTGACATCACCTGCTGCAACGAACAGCTCAGCTCTTCTTTCAGATCCCAGGGTGAGTCACAGACAAGCAGCAGGGCACACATTTGCACTGCAGCTGTAAAAAAAATAATTAAAAAAAAAATAATTGCTGAATCACAATTATTACAAAGAGAGCTTTTAATAAGAGAACATAATGTTTTTTTATTACCAGTATTTAAACATCTTATTAGCATAAAATAAGACATATAATTTTAAAAAAAGTGATTTTGAAGTTTAACTTGTGAGGAGAGAGGAAACCAAATCAGTGAGACCATCCCATTCAACCACATAAAAACTACACAGTAAACTATCAAAAACAATTCCCACATTTCTAATGAAAGTTAGAAAATTTAAAAAACAAATATATTGAAGGAATCAGTATTGAACAATAGCCTACTACCAGGACATAATCACAGTGGAAAATCATTGGACTAAATCTATTATAAAATGAGTGACCCAGAAGGGAAGATAAGAATAAAGCAATAATAAATATATAGGAGAGCTACCTGGTAAAGTGTTTGAAGCATTTTCTTGAGTTACAAACCATAACCGAAAACTTGGGTGAATCGTGTGCGTCTCCTCTGTGTATTGTTGATGTTGGCATAAAAGAAAGTAGGAATATAGGGAACAATAAAATACTGTTACATTTACAATAATAACAATGACAAAATTAAGTTAAATGGACTTTTTGTGTTCCTGTTACTTTACCTTTAAAGGAGCCAATCAGTTGACTGAGGCGAGCCACCACATTACTGTCCCAGTGCTCCAATAAATGACAGTTGTTAAAAACCAACCAGTGGCCATCACTAATGGCTTTGTCCATTATTGAAAGAATCATCACTGAATCACACTGTATCCCAAAAGAAATTACTTTTACCTGAACCAAAAAATATTAAAAAAGAGCAAGAAACTTCAACCACAGAGTTAAATTTATCAAGCCTATAACTTAACTATAAATACTGTATACTGTATGTCATACTGTACCTGATCTTTTTTGTCTACAGAGTGGGCCAACTGGTTTATCAAATGAAGAGGCTGAATGCTTATCTGCATTTCTCTTTCTGGATTAGGCAGCAGAAGAGTAATGGGCCCTTCATGTTTTGTTAAATAGCTTAAGATAGCCTTTGGGTTTCCAGTGTGAGAAAATCCTGCTGACTTTTCAGATAGGCAGAGCAGGCAGGTGGCTATAGCATCTGCTACTTTCTCTAAGGAATGTGGAAGGATGGTTTTCCAGAGGACAGCTCGCTGTATCAATGAAAGGTGAGAGTGAGAGCAACAGGGAACGGTTCCTGTCACAGTAGAAGGTGTGAAATGAAGGTATTCCTGCCACTGGATGGGAGATGTGCAAATTGATGCGTTCAGCCCTCTGAAACATGGAATCTTGTCCAAGATGAGAAGCTCAGAGTAAATGTGAGGGGGTATCCAGCTGGGTAGGAGAGTGGATGAGTTTGAAATAATCTTAGAAGAAGTGGAGGTTTTTACTTCAGCTTCATGATATCCTATGTCTTCAAGGCCCCTGAGGAAGACCACCTTCTCTGCTTCAGAGCAAAGCTGATGGTGCTCAAGAACAGCCAAAGACACCAAAAGCTTTAGAACAGCAAAGTGTCTCATAAAAAGACGAGGTCTGTATTGTACCAGCAGCTGGAACACCATCATGTTCAGAATTTCTGGTAACATGCTTTCTGCTCCTTTCCCACTTGCATATGACACTAACGGCCTGCACTTTACACTGAAAGCTTCCTGCATCACTTTGATGAAGTCATGAAGGGAAAAGTAATAGGCAGGAGACAGATGAGCTACTGCCTGCAGGGCCTGGTAGAGGGCAGCAGCCAGCTTTGCTAACTGCCGTGGAGCCGTGAGAAGAGTCTCGTGATGCTCCAGCTCATCACTTAGGTGTTTTATTTCAGCCTGCAGTTCCTTCATTTCTTCTTGACAAACAGCCACACGGGGAAGGATGTGTGTGTCTTTTTGTAGCAAGGTGTCAGATTGCTGAATGTAGTCCATCAAAGCATCCTAAAACAAGAATGTTTAAAGTAAATGAATGTACATCAGCTATGAATACAAACTAGCATTATTGGCAATTAGTACATGGCATGATTGTGTTGTATTCTGCTTTTGTCTCAACAGCTTGATTAAAAATGTGATAATTTTTAAATTTTAGTTAATGTCTTAGAAATGTCAAGGTTAAGTTCCCACATCACACAAACTAAATGTTAAATCAACAGAAAACAGTTTTTATGACAACTAAAAACTAATAAAATACTATTAAAGACAAGAAAATAGCCCTACAATGATTTGACATTAAAAAAAAAAAGAAAAACAGCAGGAGTTAAATGTTGATGTTGCTAAAATCTGGCCTTTTGTTACCTCTTCTGACACCAGTTTCTTCTGCAGAAACTGATTGTAATTCTGGTATCGCTTGTGTTGAATCAGCAGCTCTCCACAATCTGACTGCAGCAGCTGTGTCAGCATCAGTTCCTGGATCTCTTCGGAGCTCAGGGAGAGGTCAACCACAAGTACTTGAGCCAGAATGGACGGATGGATCCCTAGGGAACAAGAGCAAATTAAACTTTGAAGTATAACTTTTAAATATGCAGGGAACAGTCAACTCAACAAGATAATCTAGTGTCCATATTTGCTGCAGTTATTCCATGACAAGGTCCAGTTGTTTATATGATCTGTTACAATTTTAGACAATATTCAAAACAAATGCTTGCAAATCTACTTTACTGGAATCAAAAATAAGATGTCTTCAAGATTGGTTCAAAACAGCCAAAAAAATGGAACTGTAATAGAGCTTCTTACCACTACTAAGTAAATGAACAGGTAGCTTGGTGGTGAAGAAAAGACAGAAATCTGGATGATTCAGCTGAGGAGGCTGCTGTAATCCAGACAACCAACATCCACCGGGACATGTCAACTTTGCCAAAAACTCAGGACTAGGTTCTGCACATTCCAAGTGAGTAATTAGTACTCTCCAACCTGAAAAAGAAGGTTTGAATGAGCATAAGGCTGGCAAAATAGACTTTAACATTTACTGTAACTACCAGGTGTGTTTTCCATTCGAACATTTTCTAATCCACCTTTTTTAGCAGCTTGATCCAACTTGTCCAGCAGCTCTGAATCATCGGCACCAACCACCAGCCTGACCCCAATCTCCTCCTCAAACGTTGCCTTCTCTCCTGTACAGCAGGAATGTAACATGCACCAATTTGAAGAAGTTTCACATTAATTCACACATTTTGTATCATCTTAGATAAAGTCTGTAGATTAAAAGTAAAATATTTTAATAAACACTTACATATATATATATATAAAAAATGTAGGTGAAAAGATGTACTTTCTTTTTGTTTATAATTGTAATGATAATACAATTGTAAATGGAATTGGGTTAAACCTTTTTTTTTTTTTTACTATTTAAAAGGATAAAACAGAAATATGTTAAGGAAATTTAAAGACGTACCAGTAACAAACGAGTTCTGAAAGCTTTCTTCTAAAAGCCGATCTGTGTCTGTTAGAAGAGGCCAATGCTGCATGAGGGCACCTCTGTAGCCCCACAGTAACAGCTTAACCATAAGTCTGGCAGACAGACTGCCTTCAAGCTGACATTCATTCACCCCCAACAACTGACCAAGAGGTATCTGCAGCCTCTCAGTGACAGTTATGGGAAAACCAAGAGAGGATGAAACTGATTCAATATCTGTGTGTGTAAACAGGGAGGTTCTGGGGTCCTTGGGGTTTAGATCGATGCTTCCTGTTTGACATAGCTCTTTCCACTTGTTTAGTAGTTCTGTCCGCAAGTCAGGTCCAAATGGGCCTAAATATGAAATGGCTGCAGCAATAATAAGGGCATCACCAGTTATGTTTTGACAAAGTAACTGTGCCTCCTAAAGGGGAAAAAGAAAACCACTCAGTCTAAAAATATTTATTTAATCTGAAAATGACACATCCATTGCAGATTCTGTCTCACCTGAAATGCAGCCTTCCAGTTTTTGACATGCATCTCCAGCTGTGCAGCACATGCAGTAGCTTCTTCTTCTTGGACCTCAGCTTTGTATAGCTGAATCATAAGATCATCTAGCTCCTTTTGTATGAAACGAAGCTGAAGTTCAGTATCTTCTAACTGTTGATCAACCTCCTTCTTGTGCTGCTTGGCCACTTTAAGTTGACGTCGAGCCTGACTGGCTTGCATTTCCAGTTGAGGCTGGACCAGAAGCTTGTGTTGGATCAAGCAGAACTCGTACACAGCCTGAACCCATCTGCACAGGGACTCACAGGCCTTACTGACCTCTCGTACAGACTCTGGGACAAACTGCGGACTGTGAACTATCTGTCCAAGCTGCTGCAGCTGCTCAAACGTCAGACTAGAGCGGTCAAAAAATTCCATCTCCTGGGGGCAAAAGTATTAGCAAAAAATAAAAAAACACAAATTGATGATGGCAACAAAAAGAACCCTGCTTGCTTGTAATACCTGCATTGTATGTGTGTGTATAAGGATTAAATACATGCTGACCTCTGCTAAAACAAACACTCTGCCTATAATACTGGATTGTAAATAGTCTGTCCTTATCAATGTTCAAACACATATTGAACATTATTATTGATATTGTTTATCTTATTTCTTTATATATTGCATTGTTTATTAACATTTAGGAACTTTTGTGTGAAATCTTTTTATCTGTTGCTGCTGTTACACTTGAATTTCCCATCCGTGGGACAATAAAGGCTGTTTCTATTCTATTCTATTTATATTTATATATATATGTGTGTGTGTGTGTGTGTATGTATATATATAT